TTGCGCAATAATTCAACGACCGATAATTACGATAACGAATCAGTCACTCGATAGATCGATTACGACTTGAATGAAAATAATTTCACATTTGTCATCATTGCACTGTTCTAATAAGAGAAATCATAAGATCGCGTCTATTATTATCAGTGCAAAGAAAAGATTTAATTGTTTTAATTATTTAACAAAAGAAAAGGAAAGAGAAAGAAAGACTCGCGTCCTTCCACTTTCTCATCTTTCTCATCTTACTCAAAACTCTTCGATATCGAGAAAGTGCCACCGCGAACATCAATAAATACTCGATACTCGCTGACAATTGAATGCGGAGCCGCCTTTAACCGCGTGAGAGAACCCCTCTATCGATGACGATCGTGTGAACGCCGTGAACGGAAAGCGAAAGCATGAAACGGGGAAAACAAAAAGTCGTGTAACAACACAATCTCCTTGGGACGCGATCCATGATCGCGCAACCGGAGCCTCCGCGTATCGAAGACGAGCCGCGAGCGGGCGGAATTCCGAGCAAAGCGAAGAGTGAACCTACATTCTGCCTATCATCTACAATCCATCTACGTTTGTTTACCCTACGGAATCCCCTTTGTTTCGGCGCGCTTTCCGCACCGGCGCGGCGCGGGCGACCGCGAATCATGATCCACCGAAGAATCGCGTGTCGCGAGGGATCGTAGTTAGAAGGAACTCTCTGAATTGAAATTCTCTCTCTTCATTCCCTTTTTCGCACGGCTGTCAGTGCACCGCCAAATAAGGTAGAGTGGCAGCCAAGCCGGTCGAGCTCCGGCGAACCGAGCCGAGCCGAGCGGAGCTGAACTGAAAGGCGAAATTGTGTGTCGCGCGGAGTCAAGTCGTTCGCGACTTCCGCGGGTGGCAATATAACTCAATCTCAACAACTGACACGCCGACGTCGCCGATGGTGTGACGCGACTCGACGCGCCGGGGCCACGCGAGGCGCGTACGCGCGCGCGACAACGAGGAGCCAACACGCGAGTACTTACCGAACTCTGCGGGGAACTGGTAACGCTCGGAGAACGCTGCACTGTGACCAACGCCATGGTGATGCGGCACCGCTGTCGCGTTCTCACGACGCGGCAGAAACGTTCGCTCGACACTATTCTCGTGCGCGCACGTACGATCGTGCCGTCAGGAGCACGGAAAACCCGTCATTTTTCGCGCACCTTTGACAGTATCACGCTCGCGACGGCCATGTTCGATACAGTCGACCATCAACGGTAGCGCAATGCGCATGCTCACACCACGATCACCCTTCGTCTCCTCGTCCCTCTTCCACATGCCAAGTTGTCGACCGACGCGCACGATACGCGCCTTATCGCGCGCTGTCCGATGACGTCACGTTTCTGAGTTTTCCGGCGCGCGCAGTGCGATCTCGCGGTGCAATCGCGCTGATATCTTCCCCTGAATTTTTCTTCTTTTTATTCGTTGATAAATAATATTGAGTCCTTTCCAACAAGAGACATAGATAACATAGTGAATTATTTCATTTTTTAATACTTTGTTTAACACTGACAAAACAAGAATTGTTTGCAAACAAGGATGTAATATAATTCACTGGGTTTACAGCTATTTCACTATGTCATTTGTATCTCTTGCTGGAAAGCATCTACTGTTGCTCGCGCGATTCCGATTTAACGACTGTTGATTAAGAGTATTGACGAATATATCGACATTCGGTTAAATAACATTTTCTCAAAAAGTGGAGGGGTTAACATTATAACATTGATAATGATTAAGAATTTCTAAGATCTTGTTTCAATCTATATAGTTTTTCGTAAGAATTTTCTGTTAGGGTGGTATACATTTTTTAAAAGTATTTTACGTTTGAAATCCATTTTCAACGGAATTTGAAGCCCTGACAATATTATAAATAAAGTATTTCTGACAAGAATATTTTAGATTTTTTAATATTATGATTTGAAAACGGGATTGTTTACTTAAATAAATCAAATTAATATAAGAAGCGCCGGTTATAGTCAAGATTAGATGTTAAGAGTAATATGCATTTTTAGAAATCTATATAGTATTTTTAAAGCTAGAACATTTATTTTTTTTATTAAGATTCGATATTTATGAATATCGAATGAAATTAATTTTATCTTTACAATTTAATATGCAGTTTATTTAAATATTCATAAAACTTTTTGGCCAATTATGGGACTTGGTTCTTCTTGTACGTCAACTCTACGATTCTAGAGAAAATTTGTGGAAACATATTTATCTATTTTATAAATGGTTTAAGAAAACCATTTATCTATTTTATAAATGGTTAAATGATAGACATGATTTTCCAAAATTAAAATGGCAAAATGCCATTTCCATTTTAAATACATATTTAAAATGGAATTATTTTAAATATTACCCAGCTCTGTGAAAACTATTATATATAACTTTATATAATTGTATACAAATGGACATATTTTATACAATTATATGTTAGGTACCGCGGAAAATTCGTGTCGTCTTTTCTCCTATAAACATCTCTTGAAAAAACGACACGAACTTCCCGCGCTACCTAATATATTTATATATAATTATATAAATTGTATATGTCCATTTGTATACAATTATATAAAATTATATAATATTACATATTTTTATACAATTATATATAAAACATTTTTTCCCGGGGAAATCTAATTATTATATACGCATTATTACTACAATTATATTATTATATTATATGGAACATATTAATACATTAATAATAGAATACATTAATACATTAATAATAGAAAATTTAGTACTTGATTTTTTAAGAAAATAAAAATTATTTAGCAAGAAAGATATTCTTTAATAACGAAAGATATGACCTCAGCACGTTTGAGATATAGAGACCATGATTTCAGAATACAAGCTGTACCATTGCGCATGGCGATAGCAATACTAAAAACAACCAATCAAATTTTGGCCTCTATGCACTTCCTTGCGTATAATAGTGCTCGTAAATTGGAATAGCCAATCAAATTTTGGCTTCCAATTCACTCTCCTACTATACATTCTCAGGAATGTATAGTACATCTTGTCTTCTTACATCATAGAGACGCTCCTGAGCCAAAGCGTCACATGAGCGATCGGTGGCTCAGCCGCTGAATGAGCGCTCGAGCGGTAATGGCTAGGACTTATTACGGTTTTTTAGACAAGGTGAAAATTACGAAAGTGATCAAATTTACTAGAATATTTATAACTTCATTGGTTAATACCTAGTGAGTTTGCTTACTACTACTGCTTAAAACCATTAGCAGCGATTAGACCTGTTTGACATTGAAGATAAGTTCTTCCCAAAAGCTCAGCTATGTCATACGATCCCACTGATCGTTCATTCTCACATTGCCAAATACGAATATATTCATTATAATATTGTTTGAATGGTCCCATGAATACGATCTAAAGGCTGCATTTTATGCAGCATATATATAGTGTAGTGTAAGGTGGTATGCTCAAAATAGTAACATAATTTTTGCGTGCAATATCAATCATGTCTAAGTTCCTTGTATGAGAGTAATGACCATCCAAAATTAAAAGAACAGGAGATTCCTTCGTAGGATTTATCTTTTTGATAAAATGTTGAAACCACTCTGTAAACAAATGGATTTGAACCTGTCCAGATGGATAACATGTACAACCAATAGATCCAATAAGTGCACCTTTCATTAGAATATTTGACATATTTTTATAGGGAAATATTAGCATTGGTGAGATAAATATTCCTCCTGCACTCATGCAACAAATAACTGTAACGAGAAATCTTCTTTCTGCAGCAGTGAGCAAATCAACTTATATTCATCAGATAAATAACTATTATAAGGTCCTCTTAGAAATAAAAGAACTTACAACAATAATGTACCTCTTTTTTTCCTTTTAGACCTATTATGTGTGGAAATTCACTCTGTACTACAGAGAATCCGATTTCATCTACATTAAATATACGATCAGGGTTATAGTTGTGTTTCTTGTATATATTTTCCAAAATGTTATAAAACGCAGACATAGAATCTTTGTTAAAACCTTTGGAATATGATGTACCACTTGATTTATGAATAGTTAATGTTGGATGTCTTCTTATAAATTGGTCAAACCAAACTACCAGCTTTCTCATTACGTCCAAAAGGATGTTTTAACTTATGTCTTATGATTAATTGATAAGCCATTTTTTTCACATCATTTCTTGTCAAACCATAAAATCGGTTTTCCATTTCTAGTAGGTAATCAACTAATTGTGCTTCCATTTCTGGAGGTTATTGGCTTTTATCCTAACCTCATATTTACACAATCTTCCGGTGTCAAATCGCTCGCAATCTCCGAAGAGTGGTTCTGGGAACTTTAAACATATTTGCTACTCTTGTGTAGCCTAATTTTTTGGCTCTTACACAAATAATGGCTTCTTTCATGCGTTTTGGATTCCATTGATTCCACATCTTTTTCTTTTTCTTTTTCTTATAAATACGCTGTGTTAGCATATGTCTGTCATACAAAATAATAATATAAATATTTACAAAAAATATAATATTGCAGAATATATGCACATACGTACAAATTTTCTTGTTATCATAATGAAAATCTACAAGTAACGTGTATATTGAATTAGATTATAAGTTAGCAGTAGCTCTACAATCGATTTATCGAATAACTTCGATATGAAAGTATTAAACACGGAGTAGTAGAATTCCAAAAAAACCATATAATAATTTTTTTTTTAATTATGATAACCTTCGTATTATCTCCTGTATTATCAGATCGTTAAATTTATTGATTTTTATAACGAATAAATAATTATCTGTTAAGTATTAAGGTTCGTTAATTGACTATTTTTTATAATTTACATAATTCATCTTTTAACATCTAAAACTTCGAATTTGACACCTTCAAATACATTCTGAAATGTATTAACAATAAAAATCTATGGCATACATAACCTAAAATATAAAATTTCAATATTATCAATGCATTTTGCGACGTATACGTATCTTTACTATACGAAGTCTGTATTACATCACCATCACTCTGCAGCATCCGTTCCATCAGAGTGTTGATTCCCACTCGAATGCTATCCGAGAATAATTTTATCCTTATTCACTGAATGTTAAACAAGGATAACACGATACCTGGGGAACACTCGGGTGGGAATTTGAACACGCCCTTATTCATTGAATATTAAACAAGGATAACATGAGGGAAACATTCAGATAGGAATCTGAATGCGTTCCCAGTGCTCCGTGTGATTTTTCATTCTCCCAGATGAATAAAGTGATAATTAGAACGTCCCATCCCGAACACCGAAGAGGAATCTAAATATTCTTTAGATGGGTATATTTGAGTGGAGGACTCTGAAAATGTCTATATATCTTAAAATAACTTTATTATGGAATGTCCAAATAACATTCTTGGGACGTTCAATATGGTGACATAAATGAGATAGAATATATTTTAGTCATCCAAGGACATTGAATTGTTGCATAGGTTGGTATATTATTTCATTTATATCCTCAATTCTGAATGTTTATAATGAATGTTCTTTCATTTTTTATTTTATTTTTTTATTTTTCATAAAAAAAATTTTCTTTTTGGTAAGAATTTAGTTGTGCAATGGCAAATCAGAATGATTTTGTTCGTATGTGTTACAATTAATGTGTGGCATAACGAAATTTCATTTTTATCAATTAAATATTATCAGAATGAATTTTTATTTCATGGGATGTTTCTGATCACCCGCAATCGGGACATTACAAAATTAAGGATTTTCCCGAATCTATTGAGTCTAATAATTTCTTGATCCACAGTGTAGTTAATAAATTATTTTTTTAAATTATTTTTAACAAGTTTCCATTTTATTATGGTCTCCATTTTATTATATGCATAATGTGGCTCATGAATTAGATTTTGTACTTCGCTGTAGCATTTTCATTTACAGTTGCAAAGGCGAAGTGTAATTGGGTCATAATCTCTTATTTAGTTTCTACCAAATTTTTATAAACTATAGATGAAAAGATACCAACAGCGAAATACAAATGACATAATTAATGATAGAGCCACATTATGCATACAATAAAATAAAGATCATTTTGAAAACTTCCCGATAAAAAATTTTTCATGCATGAATATATATAAATATGTATAAACATACATAACACGTATAAATATTCATAAACATATATAATTATATATGAAATATGTCCATACATGTTCATACATCCTTTTTTTTTATAAATTTACTTTTTAATGTAATAGAAATAATAATAGTAATATGAAAACATTCAAAATAATTAACAAGGTAATTTTCGCACTATTTGTTTTACAAAAAATCAAATTTGAAGAAATGTAAAAAAATTACTTATGTACAATTATATATAAAATTATGCATAATTATATATGAGCAATTTTTTTTACATTTTTCCAAACTTGTTTTTTTCTAAAACAAACAATGCGAAAACTATCTCTTTAATTATTTTTTATGTTTTCACATTACTGTTATTATTTCTGTTACATTAAAAAGTAATTTTACAAAAGAAAGAAGGATATATAGATATATTTCATATATAATATTATACATATGTTTATGAATATTTATGCGTATTTATACATATATGTTTATACATATTTATATTCATGCATGAAAAATTTTTCACTGGGTTGTTATAAATAATGATATAAATAATAATATTATAAACTTGTTATAAATAATTTTTAAAAATGGTTTATTATTTAATTATGCCATGAATCAAAAAATTATTAGGCTTGATAGATTCGAGAAAATCTTTAATTTTGTGTCCTGATTATTGGTGATCAGAAACATCCTGTATATAGTATGGTATTCTATCCACATCAGTCTACATAATTTCGTTACTTTTCAGAGGAAGCTTTTGAATTTGAATAAAATCTTAATTGTACCCTCAAAAAAGAAAAGCGATAGATCTCACTGCTGCACAGAACAAAGAAAATGGATTTGAAGATATTGAATATCTTGACATAGAATTGCTTCAAGATTTTCTTAACACTCAATTGAAAGCAAACTTATATGCTCTTTCTGCTGGAAGTCCTGGTCATAAGCAACAATTAACTGTAAATGAAGATTTTGTAAGATTTAATGTAAACTTTAGCAAATTTGTATTCTTAAATCTTATATTTTTTGAAATATTATCCTCCTATGTACTCCTTACATTTTTAAACTTTTACTCTTTGTAAATTTTATTCATTTCTATTGTATTCAAATAATATTAAAATCTTTTTTATTCACAGATGCGAGATATGACACCCCTGAATTTTGATTGCTTAAAAGATGAAAAGTTGAAATTTATAATTGAATGTGATTATAGTGTCTTACTATTAACCCCATAGCATACACAAAAGCGTAAAGCAGTAAAACGTAAGCAGTGAATAAATTGGCCAATCACAATAGAGACCGTAAGGCCAATAGCGAATCCAATTTTATCTTTTCTTACTGTTTGTGTTTTACTGCTTTATGTTTTTGTGTGTGCCATGGACTTTAGTATATGATTCTTATGTCTTTTTTATATCTAATAACTTTCTATAATTTTAGAAAAAATTCTTCACAAGTAACGATAGTCTGTGCAATCATTTTCTTTCATTTTTTTTCACTTTTATATCATTATCTTAAAAAATTAATTTATGTCATACTTTTAATACAAAGAATGACATATAGTTTACTATTAATGATTTTCTAGTGATCTATAAAAAGTTGTAAATTAACAAGAAACAAAACATCTCATAGAAGATGACTGAGATAACATTCCCAAAAGGTAAATGCATTAATGGTATATCAAATATGATACTCTCAAATGTATTATTATATTTCAATTAAATTATAATGAACAGTTCATCGACAATCATCTCAAGATACTCTTAGTCCAATGCGTGTGGATATATCGAAAAAAAAAAAAAAATCCAAAGATAAATTATCTCTCATTCTACAAAACCGACAGCCGCAACAAATTCAATCGGAAACATCTACAAAGAAAAAACGTGTATGTACTTGTTTATGATTATATTGATAATGATTATCGTTAGGATATAATAAGAATATTTTAAGCATGATATAAGAATACAGGATGTTTCGCTTCCATAGTTGACGATTAATCAGAAAATTAATCTAAAATGTTAAAATCCAATATAAAGCCGCTATTAGAAATTTACCACCAATAAAAAAAATTGTACAAAAGTTATATTTGACTACCATTATGCGCAATGAAGCATCTTGTATTCTTACATCATGATTTTAAGTTCATAAAGTAGAAGGCAAACGAGAATGTTTGCCATGACATAATGACTACAACAAATTTTTAGAAATTAAACTATTTGTACATCATTTTCTTTTATCTTTTTGTTTGACAAATTATTTAGTGTTATTTTTTATTTATTTAATTTTAAATTCTAATTCTTTTTATATATACAAGGTGTTCCGTAAGTTTGGCCAATCGCTTTTGTATAGAAAGAGCGGACTAAACTGAGTCGAAAAGTCCTTTACCATTTTGCAATTTTCGCAATAGTTAACAAGACATTAATTATAAAAATTACCAAATATTGATTTTAAAGTTCTATGAGAGTTCTATGAGAAGAAAATAAATGATTTTTATCTGTGTAGTTTTTCTGTAAAGTTAATAGTATTTGAGTAAAAAATTACAAGACCAATATTGACAATTTTTAGTAATTAATATCTTGTTAACTATTGCGAAAATTGATAATAAATAAATTGAAAATTTATATAATATATATATATATATATATATAAAAAATATATATATATATATATATATATATGTATGTATATATACACATATATGTATATTATTTTACAGTTATCCTTTGAAAATGCAGCGACAAGGATTGAACTTATTGCCTCTCTAGAAGATGTGGCAATATCTTCTGAATTATCTTTGAAAGAAACAACAATGTTAATTCCCTCACAACAAACACAACCGGGCATAGAACTGGAATCAGTACATTCAAGCTACTTGATTAAAACGAATTGGAAGCAAAGTAAAATTATTGACAGAAATATTGCTTTAACTGACAAACAGCTATGGAAATGGCGACGAGATGCAAAGATTCATTGCAAGGTTCCTAAATTATATAAATTTGCAAAAGATGCATATACAGACTTATAATAAAATTCAAAAAGAAAAATTTTAATCAAAATAAAGATTTAAGGATTCTGAGTAAATTTTTTCATTATCTTTAGCAATTAGATAAAGCAACAGGACATTTGACATCAGCAAGAAATCTTTTCAAGCAACCTTCGTATTCACCTAAGCGATGGAACACTAATTTACGCAATCTTTTTGCCGATCATATGATCACCCCACAAGTGACCATTTATGAGTGTAGGCAAGGATGTCATACCTGCTGGATTTACACAATGTAGGTCTACATTTAGACATTTATTAACTATTTACTTTAATGCAAAACTTTGAATAATTTTTATATTTGTAGTCCAAAGAAACAATGCGTGTAGAAAAGAAAAATTAACAGGCTAAATCGTCTGTAAGATTTAAGTACAAAGTTCGCAAAGACAAATACCGCAATGCTGAACTGATAAACAGTATTATGAATATTCTGCTTATGCGAATCACTCACGGAACGATGAACAATAGAGGAATTTAATTATTAATCATTATATTAAATTATTTAGTAAATTATTTTGTATTCGATATTTCAATTTTTTAATATTTTCTCAACTTCTCAATATGTATCGCTTCAATGTTTTGAACAATATTTTCTATTCTTTTAACATCTCAATTTCTCATCCTAATACTTTATTATCATTAAATAATATTATTTTAGTTACATTGAGCAGAAGTTAGAAAGTTCAAGAAAAAATATCACATACAAGTAACATTGTGATAAAAATTTGAAGATATAAGAACTCTCTTAGAGGGAGACAGCATTCGATATCTATTTTAAAAAACTCTCTCTTGCTACTTATTTTAAAAATGGAAAGAGCTAGTCATAATAGTATTCCAAGTATATAGCAAAAATATTATTGTAATTTTTAGTAATTATATTTTTTTAGTAACTATATTTATATTTGTAACATACAGGATGATTCATAAATGCATATCAATGCATGTCCAATACTTTTAGGAGGTAAATCTATATACTAAAATAAATAAAAAGCGTTATATGAACGTATGTCCTACATACTTTAGTTTTCAAATCATAAATAAAATTTTTAAAAATGTTCAAAGTATTCGCATTAAGTGTCAATACACGTTAGGCCGGGATCAGACTACGCATTGAAGATTGAGATTGAAGATTGAAATTTGATCAATAAGGGCAAAGGAATTTTAGTTCCTATCGTTTTAATTGGTTAAATTTCAATTTTTCAATCTGAATCTTCAATGCGTAGCCTAATTCTGATCTAAAACTTGTGTCCACGATGCTAAAATTCGGTTCGAATTCTCGGTTCGAGAAATGCATAGCCAATCAACTTGCCGGTAAAAAACTATAAGCTGATTGGCTATACATTTCTCGATCCGAGTTCTCGCCAGTGGTAAGCCAATCAGCTTACAGTTTCAGTAATAATAGATTTTTTCGGAATTAGATTGTTAGCCTAATGTCCAACCTCTGTAAGGCCGAAATCAGACTACGTATTGAAGAATGAGATTGAAGATTAAAAGATTGAAGTTTGACCAATCGGAACAAAAGGACCCAAAATTTTTTTGTTCTCATTGATGAAATTTCAATCTTTAATCTTTAATCTCAATCTTCAATGAATAGTCTAATTCCGGCCTAAGTCTAAGGGATCTATACAATATACACTGATATATGGGACCTATAGTTTAACGCCGGATTCGAACGGTGTTTGGTGATCAAAGCGTACCTGGGCGCAAGTGAAATTGCACTTGGATCTACAAATCGCGAATCAATCGCACCGAGCGACGCTTCGGAGAGCTTATAAAAAAAAGAATTATCAATTCTCATATAAAACTATTGTTAAAATATAAATAATAGTTTATTGAGGATTATTACCATCCGTAATTTATTATATATGTATTATTGTATATACCCAAGCGGAACAAGTCATATATGATATCAAAATGTCAAAAGAGTTTCAAAATGGTCATTAAGTCATTTTTCAATCATTTCTGATTCATTTTAATGTCATTTTGATGTTATTATGATTTGTTCTGCTTGAATATGTATGCGTATGTACGTGTGTATCTCTGTATATAAGTATACATGTATATCTGTGAATGAGAAAGTGTATAATAAGAAAAGTCTATAAGATACAAAATAGAAATGTTAAATGTTACAACGATATACATTACCCTGTAATTGAACATCATTATTGATTTATGTTACAATGCGTTTTAGAATGTTTTACAAAATTATACTTATTTATAAATTTGTATCTGTTAAGATAATCCTATCCGTATAGCAAAAGCATTTTATTTGTAAGGTCTTATAAAGGCATCGTACTTCATTAGACAAAAGAAAGTACCAATATACCTACTCTCTTTAGCTGAACTTCTTGCATGGTTTAGCTTTTCTTTTTTTTCTCTCTAACGTGAAAAGAAAAGGAAGAAAAATGAACCATATAAGAACTTTAAAAAGAATATCTAAAATAATGTTCAAGCATTAGGGCTTTAGAATACAAAAAATTTAAGTAATAAAACGTAAACAGTAAGCGAATTGGCCAATCACAGTGAAAATTGTAAGACCATAAGCAATAAGATGTTGGTAATTAAACAATAAATATTGATAATATTTGCTATTAAGGCAATGATCAGACTAAAGAATTTTTCTTAATCTCTAGTCGATCACGCCTTTATAATCTATAATGGCAGTAAAAGTAGTGGATAAGGCTATAAGAGTAAAAAATCGACTAATCAGAATCGATTATTCTTCTCAAATTCGACTATGATTAATCAATTTTCTTATTTTTACAATCTCATCCACTACTGCCATTGTAGATCACGCATTACATTATGGCTTTATAGTCTCTACTGTGATTGTGGCCAATTCGCTTACATTTTACTACTAAGTTTTTTGTGTATCATGACTCTTATGATTTTCAATTATTTCAACTGTTAATATATCACCTTTAAGATGCAATGTCCTCTGATAAACTAAATTAATTTTATGATAATTATATATTATTATTTTAATCAAAAAAGATTAGGTTCTTTTACCTAATCTTCTTTGATTTCAAGAAAAGTTTAATGCCTAATGTTCTCTTGTCATATCATAAATTTATTTTTACGAATATGAATTTATATAATATTATTTATTTTTTTAACAATTGATATAGCAATTACAAAAATAATGCTTTTCTATCTGTTATGAAAATTGCGATATTTTAATAAGAAGAAAAGAAATATGAATGTTCGTGTTTTATATATTTTTAATAAGAAAATATTTATTCTGTCGTTTTAATAAAAAGAAAATGACTAATTGTAAGATGTTCTATGTATTTAAGAGACTATACGTGTGCGACAACCGTTCACTAACAGCTCAGAGCGCGTTCTACTTAACGTTCACAATGCTCATGTCATCCTTCTTATCATCAAATATTAGACAAAGATGGAATGATACGGAAGTGCGAACATTTAGTGGAACGCACCCTCAGGGTAGTTCCTTCATCTGACATATTTCGTCAGATTCTAAAATATAATCAGATCAAAAAGCTCATTGAACACTCAATCTATCGTTCTGAATGTACCTCATATTTGTACAATTATTTATGCAAACATCGAAAATAATAATAACGTTTTTAGTGCTATTGAAATATAAAGATAATAAATATCTTTAAATATGAATTGCCTCCTTTCATCTTTTCTGGATAAACAAGGTAGATAAAATTAAATTGTTAAAAATATATTGACAGAGTCTCGACATATTCATTTATTGCCACTTGATTAATCATGTGTACGATGACCATATTTTCTTCAAGAAAATAAAGAACAAAATATGAAAATTTTAGGGCTTTGTTCCTATATGTTTTCAAACCAGTTTTGTATCAAAAATCTGTACATTATAAAACTTTATTGCCCGGTATAATCAAATTGAGATAATGCGCAGTTTTCTGATAATTCGAAACTGATTCGATTGTATTGGAACTCCTGATCTGAATTAATAAAAGATTTGAAATAATAAAAAATGAAAGCAACTTTAGTTTGAATAAATTTAATTTTAAATTTAAGAAATATAATTAACAAGAACAAATTGTATTAGGTGTTGGAATTAATTCGTAGCGTTTTTTAATGAAAGAATGTTATTTATTTCACATGAGCATTAAAAAATACATTAATGAAAGTAATCCCCATCACTTATAAAACGCTACGAATTAATTCCAACACCTAATATTTATATGCATGAAACTGTAAAATATTTTCCATAAAAATTTGCTCATTAATATAATATTAGAATACTAATTATATAAATTAAAAGAATTTCCCGTAATGTCAAAATAAAGGATAATATTGAAAAACAAAGGACAAAATTGAATTTTGAAAAAAACAAATAAATTTAAAGGACAGCTATTTAAAATAAAGGATTATCGTTTATAATGAAGAATGTATAACCATATGTCATTTATCAGAAATTTTGTTGGAGAGTTTGTTTGCTCCTCTATTTATAAAGAAATGATATGTTCATTATATTGCATATAGTAACTGAAGATGGTTCGAAGCCCTAATAGCACAGATCTCCAAGGGACGTTCCAAAGAACATTCAGAGGATATCCTTATGGCTGCGTTCGCTTTGGCGCTCACAGTGCTTGTGATAATAAAAATTGTCCTTGTTTAATATTTAATAAACAAGAATGAAAATGACTCTTAAAGCGTCATTGTAAGCGCTAAAGCAAACAGCCTAAGTCCTAAGAACGTTCGCCAAAACGTCCCTCAAATAAAGTATGCTATTAGAGAGAGGAGCCAAAAACTTAATGAATTCGTATTATCTGCCATGATTTTGAGTTATCTATACACACTGTTTACCGTGTCAAAACTCTCATTAGCCTTTGTGCTTTGTGTTTTATTGATAACTGTGATGAAAATTTTTCTCAGAATTTTTCATATAATTTTTCAGAATTTCTATATAATTTTTTAGAATTTCGATCTATATATTTTCGTAACTTTCTCACATTTTTTATAAATTGGAACATTTCTCAGAAAATCTACATCTTTTCTCAGAATTTTTTATATATGTTAATTATTCGAAATATTGTAAGATTTCCAAAATTTTTTGTAAATATAATTTTTAATGAAATGTTATAAAATCTAAAAAATTTTTAAATATTTTTTTTTAATTATGGGAATTTTTTTTATTATAAGAAGTTTCAGAATATTTCAGAATTCATTTGTATAAAAAATTCTGAAAGAAAATAATATATAGTAATTTTTCAAATATTTCTGAGTATTTCTGAAAAATGTTCCAATTCATATAAAAATTATGATAAAATTTCCACCAGGGAATTTCGTGTTATTTTCATATTATTAATAACAAATATCTATATAATTATATTTTGCAATTCTTATTTGCCATTTATCTTAGTCTTGCTTGATGTAATTTAATAATCAGATATCCAAAAATTGTAATACTTATTAAAGATATAGTGAGAAAATCAAATGCAATAACCTACCGCTACTCGATGCTAAAGATACGTATTTGAGAGAGAGAGAGAGAGAAAGAAAGAAAAAGAGAATATCGAAATGAAAATCAAGTGCTAACTGGATCGTTTTAACTACACTTTCTGCACTTGGCGTAAAGTAAACGCTTTATAAAGTACACGCCTTATAAAAACAAATTTACATGCATTTATATGCTGAAAGATGTTATATATGAAGTTATTTAAATGCTAAAACGCAATGTAAATGTTTAAATCGATTAAATATTTGATGTCACGTTAATCTATTATTTATTATTTTTTTACATACTCGCGTCTGCAGCAATTCAGTTGATATTGCACCACATTGCGTGCATAGTTACGTGTGTATCGGTCCTAGCTTAATTTGCAAAACAATGTGAAACGTTTTCTAAAGCAAAGTTATATCTTAAAAAAGAATACTGTAATCCATCGCGTATTTCACCGTAATCGTTTGTTGAAAGCGCTGTTTGAAGTTTATCTGAGTTTATCCCTCGAGTCGAACTCACTGCAAAAATGTCAAAGATATTTACGCCAACGAATCAAATAAGGCTAACGAATGTAGCCGTTGTTCGCATGAAGAAAGCTGGCAAGCGATTCGAAATTGCATGCTACAAGAATAAAGTAGTGTCTTGGAGAAACAAACTGTGAGTTCACTTTTGCCAAAATGATATGCCAGTTTAACCTAATTTACAGTTTCTCTCAGTAACTTATTCATATTAAGTACACTGTTTTCCGAATAATATCACTATCTGTTAAATCTCCTCAACAATTATATCTCCAAGATTTTTCTTTTTTATTTCTTAAGTAGAAATAAATCATCTTAGAAACTTATTAATTCAATTTCAATCATCTAGAAATTTTCTAATCTGCTATTTTATTCAAAAGATTCCTTTTGTTCCCTGTGTAATGTGTAATTGAATACTTATCATTTATTATTATTTTTTTTAAATATATTTCAGAGAGAAGGATATTGACGAAGTACTCCAAACACATACAATATTCACCAATGTATCAAAGGGTCAAGTGGCGAAGAAGGAAGATCTCATGAAAGCTTTCGAAACTGAAGATCAGACTAAAATCTGTAAACAAATCCTTGCCAAAGGCGAACTTCAAGTTTCTGATAAGGAGAGGCACCTGGCATTAGAGTCTATGTTCAAAGACATCGCCACGACAGTCGCCAGTAAGTGTATAAATCCAGAGACTAAACGTCCATATCCAGTTACCATGATTGAAAACGCCATGAGGGACGAGATACACTTTTCTGTTAAACCTAATCGAAATGCCAAGCAACAGGCACTGGATGTTATCTCACAATTGAAAGAGGTGATGCCTTTGGAACGTGTTCAAATGAGGCTCAAAATTGTCATTCCAGAAAAAGAAGCTAGGAAATTGAAGGATAAAGTTGTTAAATTTGCAACTAAAATGGAAACGGAAGAGTGGGACAATGGATCGTTAACAATAATTTGCTTAATTGATCCAGGTCAATATAGAGGAATAGATGAATTAATACGATCAGAAACAAAGGGCACTGCTTTATTGGAATTAGTTAATTTAAATGAAGTAGTCGAAGGAGAAGAACTCTTAACATAAATCATGACTGGAATTATTATCTTTTTAAACACACTGTTATGCACTAGAGAGATTCGTATTTATTAATTATAATTTATATTTTAAATATATGTTGATAATATTGTTATAACAATATGGCCAATAAAGTAATTTGCATTTGTATTTACAAGTTGAATTATGTAAATTATCTACATGCATGTCAACAGTATTTTATCAGTATCTTACACTATTCCTATTAAAAAATGCAATAAACATTTTTCATTAAGATTAAGAATTACACTTTTATTTAACTAATTTTATTCTGTTTAAATTTATTCTATTTATTGCAATTTTAGATATGCAAGACATATCCATTCCAAAAATGTAAGTGTCTATCACTTGATAAATATCAAACACATAGACAAACATTTGATAACAAATAATACTAGAATACCTATTCTATATTTATTCTATATTTATTTATATTTGTAACTACTGTGTTATATATATGTGTACATATGTGTGCATATGTGTGTGTGTGTGTGTGTGTGTGTGTGTATTATATTTGTTGTGTGTGCAAGAAGTTGGTACCTATAAAAATTTGTAAATCAGTCCTTTTATTTCTCATCCATCACATCCGCTCGCGGAATATAAATATTTTCCGTACGTTGATCACATTTGGCTGCAATTCGTGATACTGTTAGAAGGAAATCTGATAATCTATTTAAATATGTCTGTGCCTCTTTATCTAGAGCACCCTCTCGTACTAGTGTTGTGATACTCCTCTCGGCACGTCTGCATACCGTTCGTGCAACATGCAGAGAAGCACAAGCTTTTCCACCGCCCTAATTTTGAAATATTAAATAGAATTGGAATTGACTCGGAAATATGTGTCTATACAGAATGGTCCTTAAATATATTGCCAAAATATTCAAAGAAGAATTCTTCACAGTAAGATCAAAACTATATGTTCAAGATGAAAATTATTTTTCAAAACGATATCAAAGATATAGGATGTTGAGATTAAAGGAAAAATTTCGTTTTTCCAAAAACTTCGAAGATCATTGAAGTTATTTTAACAAAATTTTATGTATGTTTCAAGAAACAGGCACAAAGACAAACTTGGTTCACTTCTGACTGAATAAAAAAAATTATAGCTCCAAAAGATGAACTTTTATGTTCTTGAAATATATACAGTTTTCAAATTAACCCAAGTGATTTTTAAAATTTAAAAAAAAACTTTTTTCAGTTTTGACATTTTGTTTCTTTGAAACTAACGATGAATTCGACTGTGGACGCACTTATTAATATAATAAAATTGTTATACATTGATTTAATTCGTGTAAATCCAAATGTAAATATTTCGAATTATAAAATACATATTTTAATTAATAGCACTATAAAATATATTGAGGATTTCATAGCCTAATTAATTTTTATTAAACATATATTTTTCAATGTGTGTATGACTTTCCTCTTATAAGTTTTCATCATTTTGAATATATGATCATACAGTTTTTCCTGAATCACAAAGAGAAAAATCATCTTTAAAATCTTTTAAAATACTTAAAGACCATGTTGTATACATAAAAAGTAATATCTAGGTAATTACTGGAATGATGTAGTCCTCGGGAGGAGGGAGCTGATTCGCGTATTCGAGAATCCATTCTTCCAGATCTTTGGTGTGTTTGTTTTCAAAGGACTTAGTCTTTCCAGGCATGGACTTTGATATGGCATGGCTCAAGTCAAACAAAATCATCTGTACTCTTTTGAGTTTGTCGACATATGGATGCTCAACTTTGCTGTCACAAGCAAACTCTCTCGCCAATCCTATGTAAGATGATAACTCGTCAGTCGCTCCCAAAGCGTTGAAGATCATATCATCCTTTGGCTTTGTGTCTCCGGCATCTGTGATTGTCATTCCGGAGTCGCCGTCTCGTGAAAACACCGCTACTTCAGCCACATTTGATGTTATAGTACCTCTACAACGATGTCATCATCAGTAAACTAACAATTATGTTATCTCAATATTATATTTTCTCTATATAATGCACACAGTGTACTAAATCTGATTAAGATTTAACCATTTCCAACATAGATTAACTTTAATTTTGGTTCACTTGCTCTTCGTCTTTTTCTAATCTTTAGAATTAGAAAAAGACGAAGAATTAATTGAACTGAAATTAAAATTAATCTTACATTGGCTCATTTCTATCAACATAGTTTAATTTTAGAAAAGGGGCTTAAAGCCTCCATCAGTATAAAATTAATTTTAATCTCGGTTTAATTTACTCTTTATCAATTTCTAATTCTCAGAATTAGAAAAAGATAGCAAGTTAAACCGAGATTAAAGTTAATCTTAGATTGGTGGAACCGGCCTAAATACAATATAATATATATTTCTAGCATGGCGCATTTTGAGGTTATAAAGAATATTTGAATACGTACTTATGTCTCAAGGATATACACTGCACTCCGTTCTTATATACGACAGTGGAGTTCCTCCACAGAACTTTGATCAATTTCATCTCTCGTGTCACTCGCGGTTTAATCAATCCAGTTAACATACTTCACGTGTAATCCTCGATCGTCACTAGTGACATCGACCGACGCAAAATTAGCGAGCTACGAAATAAAGAACGTTCGTATATACAGCTCTCCAAATGTAAAGACAGATCCATAAAGACAGACGCACATGTGTGTTGTATGTGGAATGCAGTGAAATTCTACGAAAAGCAGATAACGATGCGGAAAATGAGAAAATAGAAAAATAAATATACTATCGCGTGGATCTGCAGTGTCAGATTTCAGCTCATTCAGTTCAGACTTCACAATTGTAAAGAACGCACTCTATAATCTTTCAATGATTTTACAACAATCCCGATGGTGGTAGATATTGTCGAAAGCATGTCGCTCGCTTCGAGAACATTTAAAAAATAAATACATCGCCGGCTTGATATAATGCGAAATTAAATTGCGCGCGCAGACATACAAAAGCCTATGATTTTAGCTTCTTTTTTTTAACTGAACTTCTTACAATGTTCATTTTTTGCTCTTTTTCTCTGCAATGCAAAAAGAAAAGGAAGAAAAACGTACTGTGCAAGAACTTTAGCTAAAAAGAACAGACCTATAATATTCTTGCGTAATGTAAGGGCGGAATCAGACTATGCATTGAGATTGAAAGATTGAAATTTAACCAATCAAAATTGTAGGAGCTAAAATTCCTTTGTCTTCGTTGGTCAAATTTCAATCTTCAATCTTCAACCTCAATGCGTAATCTAATTCTGGCTTAAAGGCTGCGCACAATGAAAAGAATAGGGAACAGAGAACAGAGAAAACGAATTTTAACTTATCAGAAACTGTGTATTCCACAATACATGATTTCTGATAAGTTGAAATTCTTATTCTCTGTTCCTGTTCCTTTCATTACCACTAAGGAAGTGTTTATATTAACCGTAATCTGTAAAAATTAATCAATCACCACTCTAGTATTCCCTTCTAATTATGAGAGAGAGATACTTGACTGTGATTAGTCAATTCTTACAGATTACGGCTAATATAAACGCTAATATTTTTGTAAAGTCTGTTCTACAATTGCGTAAGCGCAATTGTAAGTGATCATAATTATAAAAAATTACCAATTATAACTGAATACTGAGAAGAATATTCGACCGTCAATTCTTACAATTATACTTATGTAATTGTAGAATGTGCTTAAAAAGGCGTCTACAATGGGAGTAATATGAAGTTTATTTTTTATTTTTACATTAGAACTCTTTCATTTTCGACAAATATCAAACATATATCTTTCTCATTTTAAATTCCAAAAATGCGCTTGTTCATCCACAGAAAATAGGCCTATGGCAGAGAGAAACCTGAAAGAGGCCATGCAGACCTTCCTGTTACCGTCGAAATCATCCGTACCCTACCGCCAGTACATTCATTTTCAGTTTGGGAACTACATGACTTCATACATTTTCTGACACTATCGATAAAATTGTATCGTCGAAAGTAGATGTGGTTCGTCTTTGAACTAAATCCTCAGTATAGAAGCATGCCGACTATCCATAGGAGGGATAGTTTAATGGATTCTTGAACGAAAAAATTTTAATTTCGCATTTTCTACATATGTAAATAAAAGTTGTTGAATTTTTAATAAACGAAATTGAAAATTCAAACAAGTTAATGTAGTGTGTGAATTTTGTCTTATAATATCTTATAAAATTATGAAGTTTCTTTATGCAAATTTTCAGCCCATTTTTACCAAACCATTTTTACCAGCCAATTTTTAATTACTAGTATAATTGTTTTATTTTAAAATAAGACGTGAATAATTTTGTCTAAAATAAAAGAGTTATTTAATTAGTATTCATTATTTTAAATAATAATACTTTTAACTTATTTTTTATTTAATATTTTATATATAAATAAGTTTTCAGAAACTATATTTTATATTTTTTATTTAAACCAAGATGTATCAATTTTTTACCAATTCCTATGATTTTATATTTTAAATAAATTTTTGGAATTTATTTTATATTTTTTATTTTAAGTAATTCGTAATAGTGATTTTATCGAACTATGATCGATATTATACATAAGTTTAAAGAATTTCTAAAACACAGATGATATACAGTAATAATAGTGTCTTATGCCAATATTTATAGACGGATCTTATATTTAAGACAGTCTTAAGTACAGTCTTAAGATGTCAATCTGAAGACTGCATTAGCGAAATTTTCAGCTCATTTTTACCAAATATAATTACTAGTATATATCAAAGTCTCTATAATTATTAGCAATTATAGAGATTTTTAATAAATTCAATCTTTTCTAAATATATATTGTCAATTTAAGATATAATTTGGCAAAAACGAGCTATAGAGGCCCTCCACCACCCCCACCAATTTTATCGGCAGTCCTCTTTTCTTTGTAAGTATACTCACTCATAAAACAAACAAGCTACCAATAAATTTAATAGCCCGTTTTTGCAAGTAAGTATGTCTTTAATTTATTTTTTTATTTTTATGTCTAATTATTTTATTGTATTTCGCTAATGAAATTGCAATAACTTTTTAAATATTATTCTTTATTGTATTATTCTTTATACGATTCAATATTACAAATATAATAATTATTTACAATACAATTATCAATGCTGTTCAAAATATAATAAAAATAATAACATAGGAGCATAATTAATAAATTTTTTTAATGCAGGATTATATGAAAACGAAAATATATAAAAATATATAACACAAATTTTTCTAAACCAATGTTTAATGAAATATTGATAAACGCAGAAGAAATACTAACAACAATTAAATTGTATTTACTATTAATTATTAATTTGCGAATATAAAACTTAATAATATCGCGATAAAAAATTATTATATTTATAACAGCACTATTTCATCGCGTTCAAGATAATTAT